ATAATTATTCAGAATAGCGGCTTGCAGAACCCAGTAATAGATGTATTCAAAATAAAATAAGATACCACATTTAGTACCTACTTCACTGTTAGTGAATGGGATGGATTGGCTGGATGAAGTGATACCGTTTTTCCAGTATTTGGTCTAAAGTCACTTCAGTCATGAATAAGGGAGCAACGCTCCCGGAGGAGCCCACCTCCANCCCCCCCCCCCCCCCCCCGCCGCTCCCTTGCCTCTTAGCGCCGCCCTAGGTAATCCCACCGCCCCCAGATGGCGGTACAGCCCCCTCTGGGAACCCCTGGTCTACACTGTAAAGGTAAAGGTAAAGCTGTCCCTGTGCGTAACTAATTAAACACTACGCCATAAGCGCGTATGAGGGAGTGGATGTATAGATCCACATTTTCTTGACCTCGGCCATAGCTGGAGGTGAATGGTCTACTTCACGCCCTAGCCGCTTTACCCGCGGGAAAAGAGCACCAATTGGATAAGAAATTTGGTGGGTCCGAGAGCCGGTCAGGGCGACATGGAGAAGAAAAAATTTTTGAACCTACCGGGACTCGAACTCCGACCCCTCGGTCGTCCAGCCGGTAGCGTAGCAAATTGTTTTTAAACGTGCGTTTTATCCATTTAATCACTGTGTGTCCTGACTCTGTCTGTGCCAAAAACACGTGTTTGGTTTATTAATAATCGACGCATCATGTGTTGCCGATAAAAATGTAGAATACTTAAGAGTGTTTTATGAAGACGTGATGCAACAGCTTATTCAGTATAGTCACAATGCCAGACATATCGAAATGTTTACTTGACTGGTCTTTCTTTAAAGCTCTCTATCTATTACAAAGTGTGATATCCAAAGTGAAAGTAACCCCGTCCCGGGCGGAGAACAGGTACTTCTGCTAATGTTTAACTACATTAGCCTTGTCTCCATGGTCAAAAGCAGTTTCCTGATAGAGAAATCTTTATTTCCTTCCTGACGATAAACTCGGAGGGTAAGAAGAATTATTACTTTCAATTGTTCATTTCAGAGACCAGTTCCTATTGTTTTGCTAGTCATTAGTCGCCTTAATTGCTTAAAATGAAACTTAGGGGGAAATACTGTATATGCTAGTCGTGTACAGCTGCATGTCCCCTCTAGAACATTTTGTGCCAACGAAACGTCCTTCTGACTCACGTCCATTATTAAAATTAATCTGATTTCCATGTCCGGCCTTGAATCTGAGCTGTATATCCCGTTACGCGGACGCCGTTTCGTGAACATCTGCCCAAGTCCCCTCATTACAGTCCCTTCAGACTGGTTTAGGATTCGCGATGCAGCAGAACAGGGATGTCAAACGTCCTCTATGTTTGCAGTGTTAAATTTCTTCACTGCATACTAATTCAAGCATGCCAGCAATTTGTAGGGAAAGTATACGCACATGTTGTGTTTATTTGTGAATCATTTAACGATTCTGTCGATATCTCGCACTATAGAACGCCGAATGGTAGGATGACTTGAATGAATTAGGAAGGATATGGTAGGATCAGTCCTCCCGTCCATGCCACACCATTTTATTTCTCTAAGATAATTTTTAATGTTGTCACGTGTCCGGGGTTTTGCGTGACAAATAAGACGGGTTTTGGATTAGATGATCGAATTTATTGGACCTTTATACAACTGGTTACAACAGTTCTGTCAGTGCCATCTTCCGACTGGACACTCCGGGGGAACTGTTCTGACTTCCAACTGAACTCTTACACTGCTCCGTTCTACTCCGTTCTACTCCCTCAATTCTGATCTGTACTACGACTGATTGTGCCCTCTTATAACTCCTCGGCATTGACCCCATGGAGAACGCCGTCTTCTGTTGTCAAGAATGCGTGTTTCTTCGTCCGTTACCTAGCAATGGATGCCCTATTGTTGAGAGCATATGCTTCAGGGGTGTGTTTACCGGGCCGCTGCCTAGCAGTGGGCATATGTGTCAAAATATTGTCACGTATGCGAGTACAAGTTGAGTGAAAACGGGGTTTGGATTTATAATTGGATTTATTCTCCTTTTCCAAGGGCTATGCTTGTGACATCTGTGATTGGCCTCGCCTTCCTTCCCCGTGACTCAGTTATCAGGGTGACTTTTCTCCAACTGCTCCCGCTGCTCCATCCTTAGAGCCTCTCATCCCGAGCGGTTCCCTGATACGGTGCGAACCTGTCCAGGTGTATTTCTGAAGGCTTTGCTTTGGACTTCCCTTCTTTCGTTTCGGAGGAAGCCGACCCCTCCACAATGTCCAGTCACTAACTTCCTGCAACCCGATGGAAATCAGGACTGCTCGCTTCACGACCTCCAACTGGTGAGTTTGTCTGATGGCCTCGTATAGCGCCTTCTTGCTTCCCACACGAAGCTCCGTTGTTGAATTTCGTTTGCATCCGTCGTCTCTTCTCGAACGTTGTTTTTGTGTGTGTATGCGTGTGGGGGGGGGGCTCCTCGTAAAACTAAGTTCTTTGTCGGGCCTTCGTGACCGCGTCCCTTAACGCCGTGCAGGAACGGTACGGCGAGTCATCAGTCTGCGGACGGCGGCCTACTTCTTCCGGGCCCCACCATCGCCCTGGCCGGCGCCTTACGGTTAGATACCGGTTCCCATGTCGGTCCTCCAGTGCCCCTACAGTTTCCACTTCGGCCTCTTCATTTGGGATTTCAGGGTGCGCCGCTACGGCTCCTAACTTTTCTCGATTGACCACCAATTTTTCTGCACAGGCCTCTGTTCGTTGTATCCAGGCAGCCATCTTGGCTGTCCTGTCGTTGGTTGGCCTCTGTTATGGCTCAGTGGATATCCACCTAAGAGACGAGTGTACCTCGAGGAACCTCAAACTTCTCATTATTGGCCTCTATCTCTTAGCTTCCGTCTTTTATTTACTGGGGTCTATCTTGGCATCCATCTTTTCTTCGTTGGCTTCCATCTTTTTAGTTGTTCTGTATCATGGCTTTCAGCCTTCCTATGGCGGCTACAAATCCGCCATAATTATCCATCTCCTGGGTTCAAATCTGACAACTCAATCCCATCCCATTTCTGGCACCGGTAGTCATAAGTGTCAGTGTGAGTATAGAACACTTCCCCCCCCCTTTGGCACTACAGCCCCAGTGGGCCTAAGCCTATCTCCATGAACTCCGTTCACATAGAACACTTACAGATCATAAATACAAGTAACCAAAGAACGAACGCTAATTCACACACACTCTGCAGTTCACTACGTTTATGAGTGTGACTGTAGACGGGGTTTAGATTGGTAATCGGATTCATTGAACTCTTACAGTTCCGTGACTACAAGTAATTGTAACCGTTTCACTAATTCACACACTTTACAGTTCATTAGAGCACACACTTAAGTCTTCTCGGTCTGCTGTGTCTTCACCATTTTTCTGGCAACGGCTTCCAACGAAGAGGTTCCCCTTGCTCTGGGTTTATGAACTCTCCCCATGCCTCAGCTACTAGCCTCTAACAGCAACAGCTGACAAGGAGTGAACCTCAGCAGTCCTCTAACTCACTCACTCACTGACTCATTATTTGGCCTGCTTATAACATCTAAGCACGGATCGTACAGAAAACACCGTCCCTCTATTGCTGTTTACGGTCCTTTGCCTAGTACCAGCCTTTCTCTAGTTGTTCGTTTCGCGGTCGTTGCCTAGCAACAGGTCTACAAACCACAGTATTATCCTCCCACCTACGTCTAGGTCTTCCTGTTGGTCTCTTTCCTTCTGGCTTTCCCACTAAATCTCTAGGTGCATTCCTCTTCTCTATCACGAGTGCTACATGCCCTGCCAATTTCATCCTCCTTGACTTGAGTCTTTTAATTATATTTGGCGGAAGAGTGCAAGTCATGAAGCTCCTCATAATGCAGTTTCTCAGGCTTCCTTTTATTTCGCCCCTACTCAGCACAAATATTCTCCTCGGCTCTCTGCTCTCAAATACCCTCAGTTTATGTTATTTCTTTAGTGTCCACAAGAAATGCTGGCGAAATTATAGTTTTGCATATTTTAATCTTTACGTTTTAAACAGGTGGCGACTGGTTTCACCTGGTTCAGGAAAGGGACCAGTGGCGGGCTCTAGTGAACACGATAATAAAGCTTCGGGTTCCGTGAAATATTGGGAAATTCTTGAGTAGTTTAGAGAATGGTGGCTTCTCAAGAACGACTCGGCTTCATGGAGTTGGTTAGTCAGTTAGTTAGTGGAAGGAAGTGGTCTTAGCCTAATTTAATACAGTATCCCGACATTTGCCTAGAAGGGCTGAAGAAAACCAGGAAGAAATTTCAGCCAGGATAACTGTTGTCCCGGACAAGATTTGAACCCGTCACCTCCCAAAGCATTACTGCTTTAGCCAACTGCTCGGTTGCAAGGACATATTTGAACTACATGAAAGTACTCTTAATACTTGCATGTTGAGGATATTTATAACTTGTAATCTTTCCCACGTACTGTTAGTGCGATGGAGGATGAGATGGGCGGGGCATGTAGGACGCATGGAAGAGATGAGGAATTTAAATTGTAAACGGAAATCATGGAAGGTAGAGCTCGCTGGAAGACACAGGCTTAAATGGGAGAAGAATATTAAAGTGCTTAATAGGGGTTGCAAATGTTGACTGAATTAATCTAGCTCAGGATAGAGACAAATGGCGGGCTGTTTTGAATGCGTTTTATTAACAGTTGGTCTCCACATAGACGAGGGACTTCTTGACAAGTTGTGCGACTTTTGACTCTCTAAGAGGGTTTATACTCTGTGGAGTTGCTTTTTCTATATATACCAGTTAATCTTCAGGTTTGAGTTTCTATAGATGGAAGGACAAAGCTGGCTAGCAGCCCAGATGTGAGATATCAGTTGAATATTTACGGTTTTACACAGATAACGATGTGTTGTCGTTAAGACATATGTAAACTGGCGACATGGACCCTTAAACAAAATAATTTCTCTATAATATTCATAGACAACCTAAAACACACACACACTTGACGCTTGACGCTTGTCTTCGTTCCAGCGTGCTTCCGGAGGTTACTGACAGGCAAGCGGGTGGCAGAACAGCACATCAGGAGGTCCCTGCCTTCCCAGACTGCAGACCTTTGCCGAGAGGAGTGTTCTACAGAGAAACATTTTGTCTGTGAAGGATTCAACTACAGGTAATAATGGGGAGCAATGGGTGTAGAGACAAACCTCTGTCCATTGTAAACCGCGGCACTAGAAATGAAAACCACGTTTGTTAGAATATCTCGATTTGGAATCATCTAATGTATGTTGCTGGCCACACAGAACTCTTCTTGATGGCGCTGCATAGAATGTAGCTGGAAAGTGAAGTGAAAATAGCCAACGCCAAATCTCATGCTCGATGTAACTTGAGAACGCATGTGCATATGAAGGGTGAAGACATGGGTTGCAGCTTAAGGTCTTCAGTGGAGGGATCCTCAGTCTATTTGGTTCTTTGTCCGAAATACTTAAATGCGAATATCAGGAGTCGGTGTCCTATATATCTTTGCCTTCAAGTTTCAACTCACGAACCGCTTGTTTCATTTTATTTGGAATATGGAAGAAATTACACTTCAGTAGAAGGAATCTGATATGCCTCTTACCGAACGTTGCAATTGCTTTCTATTTGAGAGATCTCTTGTTCAAATGTAGATCCAGAAACCGGCTAGCCTTCCCCAGACTTTCCTGTCAAATGCCAGAACGGTTCATACAAAATATTAAAAATAACGTGTCTTGACGAATGAACCAGCTATCAAGCACTGGTAACAGATGCGAGTATGAAGGGGTTACCATCGGAAAACAATATACTTAATGTATTTTTTTATTGCTAGTGGGGTGGGACTAAGTCCCTTGTACTGCGGCCACTTCTGGCCTATTGTACCAGCCGCAGATGTTAAGTGAGGGTGATTGTGGAGCAATTGGTGGAATGAAGATTGACAAGGGGAAACTGAAGTACTCGAAGAAAACCTGCCCCAGAGCCACTTTGTCCACCACAAATCCCACTTGACCAGACCCAGGATCGAACCTGGGCCGCCGCGGTGGGAAGGCAGCGACTAATCGCTTGAGCTATGGCGCGGCCTCAATACTTAATGTAAGAATAAGTTAAGACTCAAGGGAATCTGATATAGACCTCCGGTTGGCCACGATGAATTTCGTTTATACTATCTGATTTTAATGTTGATTGTAATTTTATTATAAAACAGGCAATTCGATCGAAATTTCAGGAAGTTATTTTACCCCATTGTCAGATTAGACCACAGTCGCTCCCTTCCACGTCCTCTTCAGTTCAAAGTTCTCTATTCAGCTTATCATTCGACACTACATAAACTTAGCAATTAAAACTTCATTAAATAGACAAAGAATAAATAGTATTGTAATTTATTTTCAAAGAAAAGGAGAAATCCAATCTACTACACCTATATTAATAATAGAGTTATATGACTTTTAATTACTGTTATCTTTAATGAACGTCTACCGCCTCAGTGGTTGCTGGGCTATGCTACAAGCCGGAAGGTGGCGGGTTCAAATTCCAGTGAGGTCATTGGATTTTTTTCAGTTGACCTAATCCTTCCAGC